ATATTTATAGATGGGGTTGTAAAAGAAGTAAATGCTAGGGTGTTCGGGAGAGAGGTGGGATTAAATTATGGGGAATCAAATTCAAAATGGGAATTGACACAGTTACTTTTTGCTGATGATACTGTACTTATGGGAGATTCCAAAGAAAAATTGCAAAGGTTAGTGGATGAGTTTGAGAATGTGTGTAAAGGTAGAAAGTTGAAAGTGAACATAGAAAAGAGTAAGGTGATGAGGGTATCAAATGATTTAGATAAAGAAAAATTGGATATCAAATTGGGGAGGAGGAGTATGGAAGAAGTGAATGTTTTCAGATACTTGGGAGTTGACGTGTCGGCGGATGGATTTATGAAGGATGAGGTTAATCATAGAATTGATGAGGGAAAAAAGGTGAGTGGTGCGTTGAGGTATATGTGGAGTCAAAAAAGTTATCTATGGAGGCAAAGAAGGGAATGTATGAAAGTATAGTAGTACCAACACTCTTATATGGATGTGAAGCTTGGGTGGTAAATGCAGCAGCGAGGAGTCGGTTGGAGGCAGTGGAGATGTCCTGTCTAAGGGCAATGTGTGGTGTAAATATTATGCAGAAAATTCGGAGTGTGGAAATTAGGAGAAGGTGTGGAGTTAATAAAAGCATTAGTCAGAGGGCAGAAGAGGGGTTGTTGAGGTGGTTTGGTCATTTAGAGAGAATGGATCAAAGTAGAATGACATGGAAAGCATATAAATCTATAGGGGAAGGAAGGCGAGGTAGGGGTCGTCCTCGAAAGGGTTGGAAAGAGGGGGTAAAGGAGGTTTTGTGGGCGAGGGGCTTGGACTTCCAGCAAGCGTGCATGAGCGTGTTAGATAGGAGTGAATGGAGACGAATGATACTTGGGACCTGACGATCTGTTGGAGTGTGAGCAGGGTAATATTTAGTGAAGGGATTCAGGGAAACCGTTATTTTCATATAGTCGGACTTGAGTCCTGGAAATGGGAAGTACAATGCCTGCACTTTAGAGGAGGGGTTTGGGATATTGGCAGTTTGGAGGGATATGTTGTGTATCTTTATACGTATATGCTTCTAAACTGTTGTATTCTGAGCACCTCTGCAAAAGCAGTGATAATGTGTGAGTGTGGTGAAAGTGTTGAATGATGATGAAAGTATTTTCTTTTTGGGAATTTTCTTTCTTTTTTGGGTCACCCTGCCTCGGTGGGAGACGACCGACTTGTTGAAAAAAAAATATATACATACATTTAAATTATATAATATATATATATATATATATATATATATATATATATATAAATATATATATATATATATATATATATATATATATTAGTTAAAGTTAGCACCTCTAGAACTGGACTGGGGACCCTCATCCTCAGAGAAGAGAATAAACGAACGTATTTCAGAATAAACTCAAGGTTCTCCCTGGAGCCGTTTGAATATTTTCTTCTCCTACCACCCCTATATTCTATATTCTGTGTGAACTTTATTTATAGACAATACATTGACAAAAAACGCAAACATGAATACAGTGGCACAGCATATTCTAGATTATGAATCTCCTCCAGCTCCTCCGAAGCTGGACGCGAGCCAATTATGCAGCAAGCATTTTTCCTCTGGATGGCCACGCTGAGGCGCTGGAACATGAAAGTGGCTGCCCTTGGCTCCCTGGTGGTGTCGATAAGTCTGGAACCCAGTTATTTAAGGAAATGTGTGGCGCTTTTTCTCCATGATCCCAAGGTCTCTGATCCCACTGGGACAAAATGATACTGTTGGCCTATGTCTCTGTGTTTGCTGATCTTGTACTCCTCCCTGTGATCAGCAGCTCTTCCCTGTCGCCCGACACTGTGATGAATGGAGGTGTCAGCCAGTGTCGACACGCAGGTATAGTACCATGCAAAGAGCTTGCCATTCTTCCTAGGATAGATGGTGATCCCGTTAGGGCGGTTGGTCTGTTGTGAGTATTATTGGCTGCTAATGATCGGGGCTCTCTATCGGCTGGGTATCGAGCTGTAGCAAGACTTCTCTTTATGATGTCGTTGACTTCATTGCGTCTTGCATGCCAGCCCTTGGTTTTGGAACAATTAAGATCATGTAGATCATATTGGTCGGCTTGCGCATCGCCGCAAATACACGTGTATGCCGTGTGAATTGGGGCAGAGAGGCGGAGAGCAACTGCAATACAGAGGTTCTTAGGGTCGAGGTGTGTTCCCATTGCCGAAAGAGGAACTGCTTGGAGGAAGTCCCCAGAGTGAGGTACGCTCACAGCTTGGAGACGGGCAGTCTCTCTGTCTGACGTTACAGCACAAAGCACGTTGGCAAGCACCTTTTCAGCGATGAGTCCAGCCCAACTTGACTGTTTGTAGGCCAGTGCTGCACTAGGCTTTGGTGCTGAAGCAGCGAGAGTCTCCCATTCAGTGATGGCACTGGCGTAGCTAGGGTCTTGTATTCCTGCTGAGTCACTAAGGTTGTCGGGAAGAATTTGTTTCAATAACTCATTTGATGCTATGGAGGAGGATAAGAAAGCTGGTAGGGCAATCATATATATGAAAAGACAATGCAAAACGTATTGAGCTCGGTGAAATATGTAAAATATATTTTCATGTAAAAATATATTTTATGTAAAATATTTTTTGTAAAAATATATATGTAAAATATATTTTTAGAATGACAAATAAGTGAGCGTTGATGGGACACTGGGATGGAGGAACAGGTAGTGGACACTGGGATGGAGGAACAGGTAGTTGACACTGGGATGGAGGAACAGGTAGTGGACACACTGGGATGGAGGAACGGGTAGTGGACACACTGGGATGGAGGAACAGGTAGTGGACACTGGGATGGAGGAACAGGTAGTGGACACTGGGATGGAGGAACAGGTAGTGGACACTGGGATGGAGGAATAGGTAGTGGACACACTGGGATGGAGGAACAGGTAGTGGACACACTGGGATGGAGGAACAGGTAGTGGACACACTGGGATGGAGGAACAGGTAGTGGACACACTGGGATGGAGGAACAGGTAGTGGACACGCTGGGATGGAGGAACAGGTAGTGGACACACTGGGATGGAGGAACAGGTAGTGGACACACTGGGATGGAGGAACAGGTAGTGGACACACTGGGATGGAGGAACAGGTAGTGGACACACTGGGATGGAGGAACAGGTAGTGGACACACTGGGATGGAGGAACAGGTAGTGGACACACTGGGATGGAGGAACAGGTAGTAGACACACTGGGATGGAGGAACAGGTAGTGGACACACTGGGATGGAGGAACAGGTAGTGGACACACTGGGATGGAGGAACAGGTAGTGGACACACTGGGATGGAGGAACAGGTAGTGGACACTGGGATGGAGGAACAGGTAGTGGACACACTGGGATGGAGGAACAGGTAGTGGACACACTGGGATGGAGGAACAGGTAGTGGACATTGGGATGGAGGAACAGGTAGTGGACACACTGGGATGGAGGAACAGGTAGTGGACACACTGGGATGGAGGAACAGGTAGTGGACACACTGGGATGGAGGAACAGGTAGTGGACACACTGGGATGGAGGAACAGGTAGTGGACACACTGGGATGGAGGAACAGGTAGTGGACACACTGGGATGGAGGAACAGGTAGTGGACACACTGGGATGGAGGAACAGGTAGTGGACACACTGGGATGGAGGAACAGGTAGTGGACACTGGGATGGAGGAAGAGGTAGTGGACACACTGGGATGGAGGAACAGGTAGTGGACACACTGGGATGGAGGAACAGGTAGTGGACACACTGGGATGGAGGAACAGGTAGTGGACACACTGGGATGGAGGAACAGGTAGTGGAAACTGGGATGGAGGAACAGGTAGTGGACACTGGGATGGAGGAACAGGTAGTGGACACACTGGGATGGAGGAACAGGTAGTGGACACTGGGATGGAGGAACAGGTAGTGGACACTGGGATGGAGGAACAGGTAGTGGACACACTGGGATGGAAGAACAGGTAGTGGACACACTGGGATGGAGGAACAGGTAGTGGACACACTGGGATGGAGGAACAGGTAGTGGCCACACTGGGATGGAGGAACAGGTAGTGGACACACTGGGATGGAAAAACAGATAGTGGACACTGGGATGGAGGAACAGGTAGTGGACACACTGGGATGGAGGAACATGTAGTGGACACACTGGGATGGAGGAACAGGTGGTGGACACTGGGATGGAGGAACAGGTAGTAGACACACTGGGATGGAGGAACAGGTAGTGGACACTGGGATGGAGGAACAGTAGTGGACACTGGCATGGAGGAACGAAGAGTGTTGACACTCAAAGACAAAGGAACATTGTAACGCAACAAAAGTTCGACTAACGTTGTCTTTTCTACTAGGAGTTCCATCTCTCCTCTACTGGGAGTCCCATCTTATCTAGGAGTCTCATATCTCCTCTACTATGAGTCCTATCTCTCCTCTACTAGGAGTACCATCTCTTCTGTAATAGGAGTCCAATCTCTCCTCTATTAGGAATCTCACCTCTCCTGCACTAGGAATCCCATCTCTCTACAGGGAGTCCCATCTTTACTAGGAGTCTCGTCTCACCTTTACTGCGAGTTCCATCTCTACTAGGAGTCACATTTTTATTAGAAGTCTCATCTTGACTAAGAGTCTCGTCCTTCCTTTACTAGGAGTCTCACCTCTACTAGGAGTTCTATCTCCACTAGGAGTCCCATCTTTACTATGAGTCCCATCTGCTCTCTACTAGGAGTCCCATCTTAACTAGTGCCATATCTCCTCTACTAGGAGTTCCATCTTTACTAAGAGTCCCATCTGCTCTCTACTAGGAGTCCCAACTTTACTAGTAGTGCCATATCTCCTCTACTAGGAGTCCCATATCTACTAGGAAACCATATCTACTAGGAGTCCCATCTCTACTAGGAATCCCATCTCTACTAGGAAACCATATCTACTAGGAGTCCCATCTCTACTAAGAGTCCCATCTTTGGAAACAAAAGCATAGATAGACTTACTTGTTTCCTTGATAGACGTATTAGTGATGCTCATCTTGCTGTCCTCTCTCACCTGGTTTTTATTGTTCCTTACCGAGGCAACTTTATTCTTTGCCTTGCTTGCGAGCTGAGCGCCACCTACAGGACAACCAGGCCAGAGAATTACACCAAATACTCAAAAGAGTTTTCTATCGTCTACTCGGAGGTTATTTACTCCTGCAAGGGGTGGATGCCTGTAGGCTCACCGAAGGACTCTTGATCCAGGGAATTTGAAGCTTACTCTCCTTCCTCTTCCCTGGATCAATAATAACTGTTTATTACCTCCTCCACCCCTTCCCCTTCCTCCTTCCCCCCAAAAAAGGAGCTGCGTGACCCCTACGGGTTTAAAACTTCCCAGAAAGGAATATGATGATAAATGTTTAGTTTAATATTTTTTTCTCTCCAGGAGTAAGATCTCGTTCATGTGTCTCGTGTTATGGAAGTTTCTTGAGATGTCCCAAACACCCGCCCGGCCACGGACTCTCCCACGGTCAATACCCAGTGCCCAACCTTCAATTTCTCCAACAAACTAGTCCCTATCCCCCACCCATCGTCTCCCTCCACCAACCACTGTTCCCCACCTCGGAAAATCTACTTGTGAGTGAGTATATATATGTGTGTGTGTCAGTAACCTTGTTATGTGACTGAATAATTATGACTGGCTGGGAACCGGAGTCTGGCACTAGGGTATGGCACTGGGGCAGGGCAACATTGCAGGGAGTTGCAACTAGAAGCAACAATAGAGTAAACACAAACTAGTGTAAGGATGTTTGTTAATGTGTAGCGGAGAGAAGAAAAATAAAAATATGAAGAGAAGTTTCAAGGGAATTAATTTTTAAGTTGAGTTACGTCTTAATGCTCACATAGGAAAAGGAATATATGCTATAAATGCTAGTAATAAGAGAGAGAGAGAGAGAGAGAGAGAGAGAGAGAGAGAGAGAGAGAGAGAGAGAGAGAGAGAGAGAGAAAGAGAGAAGAGAGAATCCTTATGTTTTCAACACAGTGTTAATGTTACAAATATACATAAAATCTTGTAATATTCAGATAATTCGTTTATATATAAGTAAAAAACATAAATAAATGTATACGAAAGCGCACACCCAAGCATTATATATATATATATATATATATATATATATATATATATATATATATATATATATATATATATATACATTCACTATGCATAGATATATAAACAAAGCAGCCAGATAAAGATTAGATTAACTATTACAAAAGTTTTTTTAACTGTATTTTCAAGTAGACGTATTTCACAAGATGATTTATATACTCAGAGAAATATATATGGATATTCCCATACCATCAAGCGTAACAATAATTAGTGGTACCAAAAAGATGAGTAAAAAAATTTTACATAAAAAAATATGAGAACTAAAACGTAAATAAGTATTTGTGCACACGTTTTAAACAGGAAATATAACACGTTGCGTTTAAACTTTTGGGCGACTGCAAATAATGAATACCATTTTGAAAAATAATGAGAAGTAAATGAATAATAGGTCAGACAAGATCAGATCTATAGTACAAAAAGTGACACAATAAGAGATCAGTTGTTTTAAGGGATTCCCATTACAGCTTGTAATGGGAATATTCTAGTCCACCTGTTATGTACAGGTGATGTACACCATTAATAAACCTCGTGTAGTAGATAGGTTTGAAATCTAATAAATAAAATCCATGAACATTATAAATAAATGATAAAATCAATTAACATCTGTTGTATTTACTGCGAATTCTGAGCATTTATGTGAATAAAATATTTTGATACTACATATAACAATAGCATTATATTTCTTGTCAAGATCTTCGCATTTAATAAAAGTATTAATAAAAATAACATTGTGACTGTGCCTGAGTGAACAGAGTTGAATGAGGGAAACAAATCAGGGAACGGGTAGGGTTCCAACACTCGCCATGGGTTCAAATCCCACCCCGTTCCGTGGTTTGTTTACAATCGTGAGTTAGTGTGAGGAGTGGTTGCTTAAACAAACAATAAGAAACAGTTGGTGGGAAGTCTTTGTTTACTTACTGTAGGTCTTGAGGTCTTCCAGGCCCGGCGTGGCCACCTTCTTCGGGGACTGTGCCCTGGGCTGCTGTCGCAAGTTTGGGACCATCAACCGAGGTCTCTTGAGTGGTGGTGTGAGGCGTGGCCCGCAAGGGCCCATGGCGCCTCCTGCGTTGTAGCTGCGGAAATCAGAGGGGAAACGTGAGACACTGGTAAGTTGAGGGAGAGAGCGAGTAGTTGAAGGGGAGAAAGGAAAAAAATGAGTGGTTGAAGGAGGGAAGGAGAATAAATTTTGCCACCGAAGTGGCTAGTTTATTGTACACCCCATATCCATCCCGTGTAGGGCAGCGCAAGAGCATATGAATACACAAAAGGCCTAGGAACTAGGCCCCAAAAGGATTTACAGGAGTACACCTGGATTTACATCTAGAGTTTACTTATCTGTTTCAAGCAAATTTAGGAGAGGGTGAGACTGGAATATTGGATGAATGGACGAGAGGAAGGGAAAGAATGTGTGAAGAAAGGGAAAGGAGAGAGGGAGGGGAAAGATCATTCAGCGCTCAATACAATAAAAACTGCACCCATTCACAGCATACGAGGAAGAGGAGGAGGAAGAAGAAACGGAGGGAGTGATAATGGTGTATAGAGAGGGAGGGGAAAGAAGAAAATTCTAATATTTACCGAGCACTTGGACCAATAAGGTCACTCAGCTTTCTTTTCAATAAAAAACGTTGTACACACTCACACGCATACCAAGAGACGAGGGAGAGAGAGAGAACTTATAGAAGGATGTAGAAAAGGAGATAAAGAATAAATCGGAGAAAAGAATGGGGGGAGGGTTGGTATGAGAGAGAGGGAAGGTATAAATGGGAAGGGGAAACAAGAGGATAAGAGAATAAAATGTGCGAAGGAGGATCAGCAAATGCAGATAATTTCTACAGAAATGGAATAGAATGAGAGATGTGGAAAAAACGTGAGACGCGACAAGAAAAAGAGAGAGAATGACAAAACGGAGGAAGATGCAAGAAATAAAATGAGGACGTAGGAAATGAGAGAAGCGTTTGTAAAAAGAGAGAATGAATTCACTGTATTGTGTGAAAAGAATTAAGAGACGTTGAGATGTGTAATTTATATTCCCCCAGCAAGGACACATTTATGTATTCCCAGCAAGGCTACACTTATGTAGCCCCAGCAAGGACACACTTATGAACCTCCAGCAAGGACACACTTATGTATCCCCAAAAGGCTACACTTATGTACCCCCAGCAAGGGTACACTTATGTATCCGCAAAAGGCTACACTTATGTACCCCCAGCAAGGACACACTTATGTACCTCCAGCAAGGACACACTTATGTACCCCCGACAAGGACACTTATATACCCCAAGCAAGGATACACTTATGTATCCCCATAAGGCTACACTTATGTACCCCCAACAAGGGCACACTTATGTACCCCCAGCAAGGAAACACTTATATACCCCCGGCAAGGCCACAAGTACTTCCAGCAAGGATACACTTATGTATTCCCAGCAAGGATACACTTATGTACCCCCAGGAAGGATACAATTGTGTACCCTAGCTAGGACACACTTGTGTACTCCCAGCTAGGACACACTTGTGTACCCCAGTTAGGAAACACTTGTGTACCCCAGCTAGGACACACTTGTGTACTCCCAGCTAGGACACAATTATGGACTCACCCAGCAAGTGCAGGAGACGGAGTGTGTTTACCAGTCAACCCACTGGTGTTATTGACAGGACTGAATATACTGAATTCCCAGGGACATACTCGCGACACTGGCAAAAAAACTCAAGTTGTGGTAGAATCATATATTAACCCCGGGTTGTGTAGGTGACATAATAACAACAATGACGACGGAGTCGGGGAGTAAACTCTCAAAGTGTGTATACTCTGAGGAAGATCCCTCACGGTATTTATAACAAGTGTGGAATCCCAGTGAGCAGTTGGAAATTGAGTAGCGCAGAAAGTAGAGCTTCAGAAATATCGCAACAATGACTATGAATATGGAAAACCGATAGGCTAATATATATACAGGGGAAAAAACAGATAAGTTGACAAATATTTATTGGGATACTCGAGGGAGGAGGAGCAGGAGATAATGTAACTGCGTATAAATTTATAAAATGATGTAAGAAAGTAGGTAAGGTGGCTTTCTTGCTGCCTGCAAGAGAAAGAAGACGAGGATATAATTTTAACCTGCGTGACTGCGTGAGCGTGGAGGTCCATGACGACACTATTGTCAAAGCTGGACACTTTTGCTGCCAGAGTCACCTGCTGGGGACACAACACTCAGCGTGAACAAATCTCTGTCTATAGTGTAGACAGCCAAGCATTATCACTCTGTGCAGCGCTTGTCCCACGAATCATAGTATCCACTATTACCCTCCATGAACTGTGACCCAAAACACACCCTATTGGAAGGAGTTTAAGTCTTATGTGTGGCTGGTATTAGTGCTAAAGTGCCTAGTGTATCGCGGTCGCCAGTGGTTGGCGAGTCCTGTGTAATGTTTTCTTGGAAGAGACTTTTTTTTTTAACCCATGACTGAATAGTTTTATTTTAAACTTTATTTATTTCGTGTGCTTAACGGCGGACGGTCGTTTTCCATAAATGCTCACCTGATAGCCTCCCATTCCCCTACGGTTTTAGCACTTCCTCCCCTGATTAAAGTATATATAAACGCTTAGCGTAGTACAATAATTAATTATCAATAATGGAAGAATAAAGAGACTTATTGTTCCAGTGTTTAACTTGGTCTTTATGGTTCACTTTACCTGTACGAAATATTTTTTTTATTTCCAGAATGATATTGTTTCCCTATTAAATTAAATCACTTTGTTTGTTGTTGACTAGGCTGTATTACCCATGAGGAATATATCCAGTAAACCCATCAGGTTTATGTCCAGTTAACCATCAGGTATATATCCAGTTAATCCATCAGGTATATATCCAGTTAACCCATCAGTAATATATCCAGTTAACCCATCAGTAATATATCCAGTTAACCCATCAGTAATATATACAGTTACTACTGTACCTTGTTTGTACCTGTCTGCTGTAGGTTACTCGTTTTGTGTTAATTTTGGATGCGTCGGTTTATTCTTCATGTTTATTCCCCATGATTTTTTTCATTATTAGTTTACATGCTTTTTTGACGGGCAGTTGTTCTAAAGTTTGGTAACTGATTTTCTTTTCATTACACCGATTTCTGGCGAGTTTCCTACTAAATCATAAAACAATCCTTGTTTTTTCATTGTTGCCTGATGTTGAATGGTGAGAATTATATTCCTCACAAACAGAAATAATCCACATATGGGAGAGAGAGAGAGAAACGCTCACGACGACCGAAACGTTGTCGCAAACGGGGTTATTTGTACATTGATCCAGTCACGGTATTGTGCCTTTTTCTTCTTTATTCCTCACATCTTCGTTGCTTATTCCTAACCCAGAGGCTCTCTGCCTATTCTCGGTACTCCATTAAGCTTGAAACGTCACATAATCATGTAAAATAAGCCTTTACCCCCTGACTTAGAGAGCGCTGCAGGTAGGAAGAGCTGCTGCCAACTAGGCAATTCACCTCCAGAGAGATCCTTAAAACTTAACCCATCCCAGCAGAAGCCTCGCGCAGGAATTCTCAGTAATATGCTAAGCATCCAGAAGTTCAGATGTGGAATAATACTGATGGAGCAATATACTGCTCCTGTTATTGCCAAGATATTGTAATACTATACGTTACGTATCACCGCTTTTATTAGGCGTATTTAAAAGAGGCTATTTAAATTTGACTGTGGAGTCTAATTGCAAAAAAAAAAAAAAAAAACTTCAGTGGAGACATTAGCTGACAAGGGGTTCTTGATCTAAGGAATTGGAGATACTCACCTCTTTCTTGGATCTAACCTGATAACCTTCTCTTAACTAGAAGCTGTACCGTTACGGGTCTAGCTCTTCATCGTGAATATAATAATAATAATCAATAAAAAGTTAATAATTAAATAATAATAATAATAATAATAATAATAATAATAATAATAATAAAAGTATTTAATGTGACAATATTTTTTCCTTGTTTAAGGAATTCTCTTTTTGAACCCCAAAACCTTGCTCAACCTCAACAGTCCCACTCTATACCATCACGGCCTCCCATTACCCACACATCTCCCCCATGTCTTCCTTGCACTGCCCACACCTTTTCCACAATTCACATACTTTCACAGCCCAAACACTTTCCTCCGAACCCCCATAGTTTCTCACACAACCTTTACACCTCACTCTCCCTCCATCACGCAACCCACACACTTCACCCTCCCTCTACCACACAAGCCACACACCTCACCCTCCTCTACCACACAAGCCACACACCTCACCCTCCCTCTACCACACAAGCCACACACCTCACCCTCCCTCTACCACACAACAACACACCTCACCCTCCCTCTACCACACAAGCCACACACCTCACCCTCCCTCTACCACACAACATACACACCTCACCCTCCCTCTACCACACAACCCACACCACCCTTCTACACACCTCCACCTCACCTCCACTACCAACACACACACCTCACCCTCCCTCTACCACACAAGCCACACACCTCACCCTCCCTCTACCACACAAGCCACACACCTCACCCTCCCTCTACCACACAAGCCCCCCACCACACCACCCTCCCTCTACCACACAAGCCACACACCTCACCCTCCCTCTACCACACAACATACACACCTCACCCTCCCTCTACCACACAAGCCACACACCTCACCCTCCCTCTACCACACAACATACACACCTCACCCTCCCTCTACCACACAAGCCACACACCTCACCCTCCCTCTACCACACAACCCACACACCTCACCCTCCCTCTACCACACAAGCCACACACTTCACCCTCCCTCTACCACACAAGCCACACACCTCACCCTCCCTCTACCACACAAGCCACACACTCACCCTCCCTCTACCACACAAGCCACACACCTCACCCTCCCTCTACCACACAAGCCACACACCTCACCCTCCCTCTACCACACAAGCCACACACCTCACCCTCCCTCTACCACACAAGCCACACACCTCACCCTGCCTCTACCACACAACCCACACTCCAACATACAACCTTCAAGCTCCACAATACACAGCTGTCGAACACTTC